GTAGAACTCTTGAAGACATTGGCATAGGAAAAGACTTTATAAAGAAAACCTCAGTAGCATGGGAACTAGCACAAAGAATCAACTGGGATCTGATTTTATTAAAAAGCTGCACTGCAAGAGAAACCAACAGAGCTAAGAGACAATCTACAATGTGGGAAAAATTTTTTAGCTGTACCTCAGACAAAGGACTACTATCTAGAATATATAAAGAAGTGAAAAAAATCAGACCCCCCAAATTCAAAGACCCAATGCAAAAATGGGCATCTGAAATGAATAGACATTTCTCAGAACAAGAAGTAAAAGCAGCAAATAAATATATGAAAAAATGTTCAGCATCACTGGTCATTCGAGAGATGCAGATGAGAACAACACTGAGATTCCACCTCACCCCAGAAAGAATGGCTGCTATCAAGAAATCAACAAATAATAAATGCTTTTTGGGCTGTGGGGAGAAAGGAACCCTTCTCCATTGTTGGTGGGAGTGCAGACTGGTGCAACCATTGTGGAAATCGGTATGGAGATACCTCAAAGAACTACGACTACAGGTCCCATTTGACCCAGCTATTCCCCTGCTGGGAATCTTCCCAAAAGAATTAAAAGAATCATACCACAGTGATATATGTACACCCATGTTTATAGCAGCACAATTTGTAGTAGCTAAAGCTTGGAAACAGCCCAAGTGCCCATCAACTGGAAACTGGATAAAGAAGGTATGGGTTTTTTAATAAAATGGAGTACTACTCAGCCATAAAGAATGAAAAACGAGTCATTTATGGCTAAATGGATGCATATCGAGGCCATACTCTTAAGTGAAATAAATAGGACACACGTGTGAATACTGAATAGTTTCTCTAGTGTGAGAAACTGATAGTGTAAACAAGAGTTAAAATGATTAAAATGAATAACTGATAATTTGAAATAGGAAAAAAGGTCCAAAGACTAAGGAGAGAAGGGAGGGGAAGGGGAAAGGAAAAGAGGGAAAGGAAAAACTATGAGAAAAGAAAAAAATGGAAATGAAATCTATGTAAATAGGGAAGGGCGGAGGGAGTGAAGGGCACACAGGTAATGGGGAAAAAGTAAGAACCAAGATGCATCATGTTCAGGTACAAGCACCTAATGACAAATGTTAAAGGACTTGTATACCTAAAATGGACCAATCAAAGAACTTAAGAATTAAAAAAGAAAAAAAAGCTAGAAGGTCAAAGAGGCAGGTCCTCCCCTGGAGCCTCCAGAAGAAGCCAGCCCTGTTAAACTCAGGGGAACTGTAACATAATAAATGTGTGTTGCCTCAAGCCACTAAGTTTGTGGTAATTTCTTTAAGGCAGCAATGGAGAACTAATGTCTGAATTTTTCCTATTTCATGGAATAGCAGAACTATGTTATCTCAGGCCAAGTCTGGCTCCAGGCAGCCAGCCTTTTCCTCGTGGCCTCCAGGACTAACAAGGGCAGAATGCCACGCTCGGCCACTTCTTGCTGCTGTGGCCCCTTTAAGAACAATAGGGGCGGGGCTTGTGGGTACTGTTGCCCTGGTGACAGGCCAGCGGTTCCTGACACTGGCTCAGTGTCACCTCTGTGCCCTCCAAGCCTGGAAGAGCCGCTGAGACCCAGTGGGTCAGTGCCCCAGGAGCCCCGCAGGGAAAAAGCCACCTGAGAACCGCGAAGAAATAACTAGGAAGCACTGTGAGAAAGTTTGCTTTCTTTGTACTTTCGTCAAGGACTGAAAGCCTGTCCAGGTAGGAGGTGAGAGCAGCTTGGACCGAATTACCCAGGTACCGTCATCAGGGGTGTACTGGTAGCGGGTGGAAAGGAGGGATCAAGGAAGAGAGAAGCCTGTAAGTGGGGTTCAGTCTGCAAATAGGGTGCCCCGGGGATGCTGTCCTGACAAGCAGAGCCACCCCAACCGCAGGGCGCTCCAGCAGGAGCCTGACTGTCCCTCACCTGTGTGTCTTTCTTGAAGGACTGGGATGATTTGCCGGGGCCTGTTCTGGAGGGTCATGAATATTAATGCCCTTTCAGAACGCAGCCCCAAGCCCTGTGGGCCCGAAGAAACGTTTGTTTAGCACATCCTTTCCCCTCTAGCTTGTTAGACCCACTCAGTGGTGGCTCTAGAGACAGGGCAGCCACTGTTTTCAAGTTCAAAAACAGGAAAGTGCCAGGGTGATCCCTCACTTTACTCACTGCTGTGTATCCTGTTAGTGATTTTTCTGTGCTTCATCCCATTGAATCCTTGTCATGAGACAAGGTACTGTTATTCCTATTTGCTACTTGAGGGCTGAAGGAGCTTCAGCAACTTGCTTAAGCACACCAAGCTGGTAATAGGTGATGCAGGAACCTGAATCCAGCTCATGAGCCCTTTACAAAGCTAGCATATTAGGAGAGGAGCTGCTAAGGTAAATTGATAGCATGCAAGAATGTAGAGGGGGCCAGGGATTTAGCTCAGTGGTTTCACCGCCTGCTGCACAAGCGCAAGGACCCAAGTTCGATCCCTGTACCAAAAAAAAAAAAGAATGTAGAGGTTACACACTCATTTCATGAAGGATTACTATCCTTACTGCAGCACTGTTTGAAAAGAAATAATGTTTTAAAAAATTTCAGGAAGAAGCAGTGCGATATTGACTTAAAAAAAATTTTTTTTTGCAGTACCAGGGATCGAACTCAGGACCTTGTGCTTGTGAGGCAGGTGCGGTGCCACTGAGCTACATCCCTGGCCCAACATTTTCATAAACTCATGATACTTGTAATTATTTTCAGGCTTTAAAAGAATGATAACTAGGGCCAGGGATGTAGCTCAGTGGGGCTGCCACCTACCTCAAAAGCACAAGGTCCCAAATCCAATCCCTGGTACCAAAAACAAAAAGAAAGAGAATGATAATTGTGTGCTAATGGTAAATTTTTACAAATGAAACCTCCAGGTATTTAGAGGTTGGATTTTTGTTTTCCAGATAATACTCACCAATGCTTGGAAACAAATAGCTGTCAACCAAAAGAATCATTGGATTTATATGTATAAAGCAAACTAGGACTTCCAAAGACAATGGTGAAAGAAAAGAAAAAAGACAAAAAAGGAGAAAAATCATCTCGCTCTCCCTCATCTTTCTCTGATTATCCAGAGTTTTCCAAGCAAGATGGTAACGTCCCTAGGCAAGAAATATCCCCAGTTGGCATCCAGCCACTGGAAATGCCACTAGAGTCCCCACATATTCAGGGGGAAGAAGACGCCACCCAGTACGAAGAGCCCGTTCTGACCACACTCATAGTGGAAAGGTGACTTGCATGGGGTAATGACAAGACGGGGCCCTGAGAACTGGGCTTTCTGGAAAGCATGGTTTGCAGCACACATGTGATGCCTCACACATTTATGACTGAAAATGCTCCTCTGCTCTGAGAATGACTCCTCTTCCCAGCTGTGTCTCTGTGTGGTGCTGGTTTTGTCCCACTGGGGTCTCTCGGGGTGAATCTTCAGGCTCCTGTTTCTATCACTTTTGTGTTCTCTTGGCATCCTCTTGCTGTAGTTTTAGTTTTACCTGCCGTCTTCCCAGGTGATGGTCAATATCTTTTGTTTTTGTGATGACAAGGATTGAACTCAGGGCCTTGGACACTCTAGACAAGTGCTATTCTACTGAGCCACATCCCCAGACACACCCCCTCCCTAAAATTTTTGACAGTCCTGCTAAGTTGCCCAGGCTGGCCTCCAGCTTGCAGTCCTGCCTCAGCCTCCTGAGAATTTGGTATTACAGGCGTATACCAATATGCCTGGCAAAATCTTTTTTTTTTTTTTTAAGGGTAGTGCTACTAGAATTTCCGATTCAAATTTTTAACTCTGTACTGGATATTGGCAGCTGGACTCATGGACCCCTCCCCATGTCCAGCACTACCAAACTGGTGGACTTGAAACTAGGTCGGGATTTGAGTCTTAGCTCTGTGACTTCAGCCCAACCCCTGACCCTTGCTGAACCTCTCAGATTCTTAATTGGGGGAAGTGAAAGACTACACATCTTAGGAGGCCACTGGGAATGTCACTGTTTCTTTCCCCTGTTAATGTCTCTGATGTTCCCTATTGTTTGGTTTTTGGGGTTTTTTTGGTACCAGGGATTGAACTCAGAACCTTGCACTTTCGAGGCAGGTGGCGGAACCACTGAGCTGAATCCCCGGCCCCGGTGTTCCCTGCTGTAATGGTGCTACCAGTTTCCACACCTCCAGGCTTGGGATCTTAGAACTCCAAGCCCTTGTGCTTCTTTCATGATTCTCTCATTAGTCTTTTCCCTCTGCATAGACTATTCTACTTGATGGGGTGATTAGACTCATTTCCCAGAGACTCCCCTGGTCCCAGTCCCTCTTCCATACCTTCCTAGAGCATGGCCGTTTATGTGTCTCCTGGGGGAATTATTACCACCTTGTAGCAAGTCACCCCACAGCCTTGTAATTGACAGCTGTGAACGGTACCTTGTGGGTTTCTGGGGTCAGGGTCCACAGTTCAAGACCGGAGGCCTCTCAAGGTTCTAGTTGAGATACTGCCCGGGTGCTGTTACGAAAGGCTTGACTGGCCTGGGGGATCTGCTCCCGGGGGGCTCGTTCCCAGGGCCGTTGGCAAGAGGCCTGGTCTCGGGCTTTCACCACACGGGCTGCCTGCATCCATAGCATGGCAGCCGCCTTCCCCAGAGGGCTTGTGATGGTGATCCAAGGGTAGCAGCCAGAGCATCGATAGGTCTTCTGTGACATATTCATCTTTTCCACAATGTTCTAGTGGTCACAAGGTCAGCCCTATTCCATGGGCAGTGAATTCAAGGGGAGAATGACAGGGTCTATGTGAGACCCGGCCACTCCGCTCTCCTTCTCTACCAACCTTGAGTTTCTCCTCACTGTCTGCAGAATAAAATTCCTTAGCCAGTGCTCTGATCCCCACCAACCTCACCCTGCCCTCCCAACACAGAGCTTCCATTTCCTGTCTGTATTTTAACCCCCTGTCTCCTGGGCTTATTCACATCACTCATTACCTCCAGCTTCATTTCCTCATAGGTATGAAGGGGAGAAAGTCTGTGGCCTCTACGAGGGAGAAGGCTTTGCAGTCTTCCAAGGTGGTTGTACCTATCATGTGAGTCATGCACTTCGACCTGCTGGGTTGGGGGAAGGTGTGGGGTGAGAGGGGTTTTTTTTGGTACTGGAATCAAACCCAGGGCTTTACACTGAGCTACAACCCCTTCCCTTTTCTTCTTATTTTTTTTTTTTTTGCAAGAGGGTCTCCCTAAGTCACTAAGTTGCCCAGGCTGGGCTGGAACTTGCGATCCTCCTGACTAGGGCGATGGTTTCAGATTTGCAAGTCTTCAGTTAGTGTCATTGATTATTCAAAAGGAATTGCAAGTACTTCAGGCTGATTTTATTCTGAATTCTGACTACATACTTAAAGTCAAGTATGACTTAGTATGGCTGAAGTAGTCATTTGAGTTTTTTTCTTTGCTTGATTTATATCTATTTTAGTTCCATCACTAAAGTAAAAACAGTTGTCCCTTGGTATCTCTGGGGGATTGGTTCTGGGACTCCTTTGGACACCAGAATCTTTGGATGCTGTGGTCCCCTATGTGAAATAGGGTGGTATTTGCGTAGAACCTCCATCCATCCTCCCATTACTTTATGTCATCTCTAAATGGCTCATAGTACTAAGTACAATGGAAATACTGTACCATGTAAGTGGCTGTTATGCTGTATTTTTTAGGGAAGGAAAATGTACACCTTCAGTACTGATGTTACCTAGCTACAGTGCAGACATCAATGTAACTTTTAAAAAAAGTTCTCTCTCTGCTTTTGGTTCTGTGCCCAGAGTACAGATTCAGAAATTGTGGGTTAGAAGACCAACTGAAATCCCAGTGTTCCTGTCATTTTGCCATAATATGTTGAATAGATATGTGAATATTTGTACATGAGGTCCCCCCCCCCAAACACTGGGGATTGAACCCAGGTGCCTTTGCACTGAGCTACATCTCCAACCACCACCTGTTTTTTGAGACAGGATCTCACTAAGTTGCTAAGTTTCCCAGGCTGGGCTTGAACTTGCGATCCTCCTGCCTCAGCCTCCCCAGGTATTAGGGTTACAGGTATTACCACACTTGATTTATCTGGGGATTTTTAGAAATGTACATTCAGGAACCCTAGACCAGAAGCCTGGGTGGACCCTGCAGAGTGTATGTTAACAAGCCTCCAGTGATTGTCACGCACAGCAGCATCTGAGAACCATCCACCCTGCCTCCAACCAGGTGGCTTCAGGGAAGAATGAGATGTCATTTTCTTCTTGTTTGCTCTGATTGCAGTTAGAGATTCAGGCGTGTTGAGTTTTTCCTGACTGGTTCCTACAGATGTGCAGCAGACACTGGATGTAAATGAACTGTCCTTGCTGCCCTGCAGGAGGCCCGCTGTATATGTGGGTGTCATGTCCACAGAGTCAGCCAACCACAGGCCTAAAGTATCTCGGGGAGCAGTTGTGTCTGTACTGAACAGGACATCCTTTTCCTTGTTATTTCCTAAACCATACAGAACAGCAGCTACTTGCATGGCATCTGCATTGGAACAGGTATCATCTGTAATCTAGAGATGATTTAAAGTGTACAGATGGGTTTGGGTGTGACTCAGTGGTAGAGCTCTGGCTTAGTATGCATGAAGCCCTGGGTTCAATCCTCAGCACCAAAATAAATGGGAGGATGTGTATAGTTAAGTGCGAATACTCCACTGGTTTATTTTTCCCCACCGTTTTCTGCAAGGGACCTGAGCGTTCTATGTGGATGGGTGCAGAGGGATCACTGTATGTTGTGTCTCCATGCATCTCCCAGCATGTGTGTGTCTGCATATACACACTAATGATTCCCATGAGGGAAAACAGATGAAAGTGTGAATTTATAAATGTGGTGATAAAAAATAAAAAAAGGGGGCCGGGGATTTAGCTCAGTGGTTCTGCCTCCTGCCTTGAAAGCCCAAGGACCCGAGTTCAATCCCCGGTACCAAAAATAAATAAATAAATAAATAAAAATTAAAAAGGGCTGGGAATGTAGCTCATTGTGAAGGCCCTGGGTTCAATCCCCAGTGCTGCCCCACCTCCAAATAAAAGGTATTCAATGTTCGAGCTGGGTGTGGTGGCCCACACTTGTTTCCTAGCACCTGAAAGGCTGAGGCAGGAAGATCATAACTTTGAACCCAGCTTGGGCAATTTTTTGTTGTTGTTTGTTTGTTTTTTGGTTTTTTGAGACAGGGTCTCGCTATGTAGTCCAGGCTGGTCTCAAACTCTTGGCAGTCCTTCAGCCTCAGCCTACCAAGTGCTGGGATTACAGGTGTGCAGCAGCACATCCAGCTCAGCCAGGGCAAGTTATCAATTTAGTGAGACACTATCAAAAAATAAAAAAGCACTGGGTATATAACTCAGCACAGAAGCCCTGGGCTCAATCCCAGTACCACTAGTTAGATAGATAAATAAATAAAATTTAAAAATTAAAAACTAATGTTTGAAATGCAAAATCAAAATATTTGAATTATACTGAGCTTCAAAGTCTTTTAGTCACATGTTCTGGAGAGGAAGACTGCTATGTGTAAGTTGGAGGGAATGCTATGTTTGATTGCTCTGAGCCCCTCTTTAGACTGAACTAAGCTCCCAGAGATAGTGAGCCAGAGGCAGCACGCCTCTGACCCACGGCTCCTGCTCAGGGCTCGCTAATATTTTGTCTCAAAGGGTCTGTTCTCAGAAGGTCTCATGCATGGACAAGGGACATACATTTGGGCCGACGGATTGAAATATGAGGTAAGGCATGTGATTCTAATTTTGCACTGTACTCAGTCAGTACAGACTCCCACGGATGGATGGGTGTGGGAAAAGCATTTCAGCACTTGAGGCTAAGAAAGTGCTCAGGACCACAGGATGCCAGACTTGGTGCCCACACAGCACCCCCTGGGACAGTAACTGTTTCCTCTACGGCCCTAGAGATGTTCTGTGAGTGCTGCGCACACATGGGGCACATACATGTGGCTCTGTGGAGTTCTGTGCACACAGAGCAGATATGTGTAGCTCACAGAACACATACATTTTACATTTACCCCCTACTTTTTACAAACACAGTTATTATACATTCCCTTCTGTTTATACTGGATAGAGGCCACATATTTTCCATTATGTGGATTTCATTTAACCCCTCTTGTTGGGTTGAAGGGAATATGTCGGGGTTTTTTGTTTTGTTTTTTGGTTTTTTTGCGATACTTTAGATTGAACCCAGGGCCTTTGCACTGTGCTTCATCCCTGGTCCTTTTTTATTTTGATTTTGAGACAGTTTCTCACAAAATTGCGAAGTTGTCCAGGCTGGGCTTGAACTTGCAATCCTCCTGCTTCAGCCTCCCAGAGTGGTAGAATTATAGGCATGCATCACCATGCCTGGCTTGACTGTGTCTTTTTAAAGTGATTGCCAGGCCAGATTTGTTCTCCAAGACTTTGCATTTTCTTTTTTTTTCTGGTACTGGGGATCAAACTCGGGTCCTTGCGCTTGCACAGCAGGCAGCGAAACTACTGAGGTAAATCCCCAGCCCAAGAGACTTTGCATTTTCAACTCCCCCCATGAAGTGTGAGAGTCTGAAACGCCATTCTAAAACTCTCGATTGCTAGCACCGTGGTGTTTATAAATGGCACCAAAGACTCACACACCACACTCACTCAGACACCAGCCAGGCAAGGGTAGACGTGAAGGCGAGTTTGGATCCAGAAGGTGGCTCCCTGGAGCTGGATGTGCTGTGGTGGAGCAGGGAGGGGCTGACCATGGGCCCTGGGCCCCAACAGTGGGTTTTCTGGGGACCTTTCTGGGGCCCCCTTCCCATGTGTCATCCTGGCTCCTTGCCTGTGGCTGACATTCAGGGTTTTTGACCATTGAATGACAGTTTGCCAGGGAGAACCCCCTGCTTCACTGTTCTGCAGTCTCTGGGGTCTGGGTCCTGCCATGGCCACAGCGCCCCACCCAGCCCAGCAGTAGGGTCCTGGGCAGCACTCAGGCCTGCAGACATGTCCTCAGGCAGGGCAGACGACAGGCTCTGGCCCCTTCCTTCTGCGGCTGTGATGCCCTATAAGTCTGGACTCCTGGGAGAGACAGCGGGTGCTGTATCACACCACGTGCTGGGTGGGCAGATGCCCTGCGCCTGCAGAGTGCATGCTCTGGAGGCGCCTGTGGGTGGGGTACCACCTGATGGGTCTGTGGAACACTTGGATGAGGCGCAGACAGGAACGTCCCCACTGGTGACCACTGCCTGGCTCAACATCCAGACTCTAGGAGTGGACCAGGAATTAGCTTCCTTCCGGTGAGTCCTGGGAATCTACAGTTCCCAAGGTCAGAGGGCAGCCACCTCTTGACCCTAAGCAAGCAGGCAGCCTGCTTCCTGAGCTTTGTCTGCACATGGCCGTCCTCACGTTCTATTCTGCTGTGCGTCCACCTGGTGGAGGGGTCAGGGAGAGAGGAGGAAGGAGGCGGGAGAAACCAGTGGCATGGCCAACTCTTTCTGTGCAAGAAGAGCCTGACAGTGTCAGTGAGCAGGTGATGTCCCCAACAGCTCAGAGGGTGAGGGGTCCCGCTGCTGCCTTCTCCCTGGCACGCTTTCATGTAGCATGCTGCATGTGTGTTGTAGCAAGTGTCAACTTCATCCTCTGCCATGGCCAAGTAGTTCTCCATTGTCAGTATTCACTGTAATTTGTCTCTTCATCCATCCGTTGGCTGATCTGAGCCGTCTCCACCTTTGGGCGGTTATGAATATGTGTGGGAGGATTGGAGTGCTGCCTCTCAGTACCTTGGGGCATCCCCCCATTTTCCCCAGGGGGACTTTGTGAAGAACATCCCTATGAACCGAGGCATGTACACATGGCTGGACGGCAGCAGGTACGAAGGCGAAGTGGTAAACGGCCTGAGGCACGGATTTGGGGTCTTCAGGTGCAGCACTCAGCCTGTGTCCTACATTGGCCACTGGTGCTACGGCAAGAGACACGGGAAGGTGGGTGAGGCGGCCGGGAGGCTGGGTCCTGCAGGGCAGGGTGGCAGATGGGGTGGGTGGCAGTGCTGCGGGAGTGTGTGACCTCGGAGTTGGCCTTTGGTAGCATCTGAGCTGTGTTCAGTCCACCTGCAGTGCTGTGTGACAGCACCACTGTCCAGTCCTGACCCTTTCATCTCCCTAGAGTAAAGCTCCACCCCTGTAGCAGCTCCTCATCCTGCTCTCTGCACTTTCCCTGGCAATCACGAGTCTGCTCCAGGTCTCTGTGGGTTTACCCAGCCGACATTTGATTTTCTTTTTAATTTTTTTGTGGTACTAGGGATAGACCACAGGGCCTTATACATGCCAAGTGCACACTTCTACTGAGCAACATCCTCAGCCCTTTTGAAAATCTTATGAGAGAAGACCTGACTAAGTTGCCTAGGCTGGCCTCACATTGTGATTTGCCTCTGCCTCCTGCCTCAGACTTCTGAGTAGCTGGCTTACAGATGTGCACCACTGTTCCTAGCTTGATGTTTTATATAAATGGAATCTTATAATATGTGACCTTGTGTGTTTGGCTGTTCTCAGTATAATATTTCAAGTGCATCTGTGTTGTATCATGTGTCAGTATCTTATTCTTTTTTTTTTGGTACCAGGAATCGAACTCAGGACCTTGTGCTTGCAAGCCAGGTGGCAGTACCACTGAGCTAAATCCCTGGCCCTGTTATCCTTTTTAATGGCCGAGTAATATTCCATCATCAGTATTTATTGTGTTTTTTCTATTCATTTGTCTGTTGATGGACATTGGGGTATCTCTATTTTTTTGTTTTCTTTTGTTGAAACAGGGTCTTGCTATGTAGTCCAGGCTGGTTTTGAACTCACTATGGAGCCCAGGCTGGCCTTGAACTTGTGGTGATCCTCCTGCCTCAGCCTCCCAAGTACTGGGATTACAGGCGTGGGGTACCTCGCCTGGTACTGTTTTCTTACTATTATGAATAGTGCTGTTGTGAATATATTTACAAGGATTCAAGTGCTTCCTTTCAGTTCTTTGGGGAACTATGCAGAAGTGGAATTGCTGGGTCATATGACAACTTTATGTTTAATTTTTTGAGGAACCGCCAAACTCCTCCACCAACAGCCATGCTATTTTACATCTTTACTAGCAATGCAGTGGAGATGCATTTTTACCTGAGGTTGCTGTTTTTGGTATTATCGCTTTGCTTTTGTATAGGATGACAAGATACTGTAGCACTTTTTACAATCTTTAAAATTTGTAGTTTAGAGACAGTTCCCTAAGAAAAAGTCTACCATGCTAATCGTCACAGGCCAACTCCTGACAGATTAGAACATGTGCCTTGGGAAAGTAGCGTCCCCTGGTCTGCTGTTGCCTTCCTGAAGTCCAGGATTGCACAGTATCCACGCATCATTTCTTAACAACTAGAGCCTCCTTTTTTCCTTTCTTTTTTCTTTCTTTTCTTTCCTTCTCTCTTCCTCCTCCTCCCCCTCTGCCCTCCTAATCCTCCTCCTCCACTTCCTCCTCCTCCTTCTCTCTCTCTCTTTTTTTTTTTTTGTGGTACTGAGGGCTGAACTCAGAGCCTTCACATTGAGCTACACCCCCACCCCTTTTTAATTGTTTCTTTTGAGACAGGAGTCTCACTAAATTGCCAGAGCTGGGCTTGAATGTGTGATGCTCCTGCCTCAGCTTCCCTGAGTGCTGGATTACCAGTGTGCACCACCACACCCGGATGACTCCTCTTTTTCCTTTCTCCCTCCTTCATTCTCTTTATAATTTATGGCTGCTTACCAAGATAAGGTAAATACCCCGATTTCTTTTATTTCTACACAAAATGAAAGGGTGGAATCTGATGCATTACTGAGAAGCTCCACAGAAACCAGTGCCTCTTGCTCAAGTGGTACTCTGTGAAAAAGAGAAGCAGCAGGAAGAAACAGGTCAAGGACCAGCCCTGAGGAACCCAGGAGAATGCTGGCTCTAGGAGGCTTTGTGTCTGAACAACACAGATGATTAAACTCTGTCCTCCGCCTGCTCCCAGGTAGCCCTTCCCTGTAGGTTGATTTTCTTGGCAGTGGAACCACCAGACTGGCCAGTTGCAATGTAAAGTCCTTCACAGGATGCCTGCTGGTCTCTGGAAGTCATCACAGGCCTCGACAAACTGAGGAGGATTTGCAAAGTCTGTGCATAAGGAAAGATCTGGGTTAGAGTTCAGATATGGGCTAGGGTCAGATGTGGCACATGCCTGTAATCCCAGCACTCTGGGAGGCTGAGGCAGAAGGATCAAAATTTGAGCCCAGACTGAGCAACTTTGTGAGACCCTGTCTCAAAATGCAAAGGGATGGGGATGTTTCTCAGTGCAAAGGCCCTAGGTTCAATCCCCCTATCACAAAGTGAAAAAGGGTAGCTTAGCAGTAGAGGATGTGCTTTGTATAAGGGCCTAGGTTTGTTTACTTGTTTTTATATTTGGTTTTGTGTTGCTTTGTTTTGTTTTTCTACACAAGGATCTAGGTTGAATCCTAGCATGGTAAAAACAAATACATAGAGCCTGATCAAGGCAGACCTCCTTCCTTAATGGCTGCAGGCCAGGAGAGTTGGGAGAGAATGAGCCAGGTGGTTGAGCCACCCCAGTGCCTGGCTGTCCTCATGCCCACTGCAAGGCAAGCACCACTCAGGCCTTGTGAGATCACCTCTCCTGCTCTACATAAGCTCTGTCCCTCTGTCACTGCATTTGTGGGTGTTTAAAGCTCACAACAGGTCAGTTCAGACACTGATGGGCTGGGGATGGTGATTTCTGGACAGCAGCACCTGCATGTCTGCAGGAGCAAGGTGGCCACACGATGAGGAAGAAGGAACTTTGCACACAGACACGGGAAAGCTGTTAAGCTCAGACCCACATGTACTGCTCAGGGGCAAGGCCCGCTGCTCAGAGGAGCCACCCAAGGGAGGTTGCCTGACATCACGTACACTCAGAGGTGGCATTGAGTAGGATGTTGTTATGACTTTTGTTTAGAAAAGTAACTAAGACAGAATTTGGTACTAGGAGTGGGGTCCTTGCTGTGACTATACCCGACCATGTGGTTTAGGAGCCTTTGGAGCTAGCTTGTGGTAAAGGGAAGCATTAGGAAAGATTTGGAGATGCTGGCTGAAAAAGTAGAGGTGGAACCCCTTAGGCTGTACTTGATGGGAGATTCTGGTCAGAGCTCAGAATGCTGATAGAAATTCTGCTGGTGAAGACCAGGCTCAGGAGGTTTCTGCTGGGAAGAAGGACTGCATTGGCTGTTGGACTTCAGACAGTGTGCGCTATGCCTTGGCATAAAGTTTGTCTACATTTTGCTTGTGTCCAGAAACTTTGCTTGAGACTGAGATTAAGGTTTGTGGACCAAGTAATCTGGCAGAAGGAATTTCAAGGCAGTCTAATGTTGAGGCAGTGGCATGGCTACTCTTGGGGGCTTTTAGCCAGATCTGTGTTGAGAATCAAGAGCAGAGAGCCCAGCAAATGATTTAAAATATTTTGAGTTTGGCCAGAAAGGAAGCACCAGTAAAGATGTGAACTGTAAAGATAGAGCAGAGGAGATCTTGATTGTTGAGAAGGAACAAGAGAATAGAACAGATGGCCTGAGGGCATCACAAGCAGCAGCAAGACACCACCCTTTTCAGCCTCAAAATTGCAAAAGTAAGAGACTGCTTTGGGAAGAAAGCCCCAGAGCACCATGTTCCAGAATGGTAGCAGCCTAGAGAATTTGTTCCTCGAAATTGGGCTCAGTGCCCAATGATCCAGGCACTCAACCCTTAAAGCCGAGAGAGAAGGAAGCCTGGCTGCTGCTCCAGCTGGCAGCAGACCTTGGCATCATCCATGTGGCACTGGGTTTAGGAGCCTGCAGAATGCAAGAGTGGTAGGGTCAGAAAGGCTTCCACCCAGATCTCAGAAGGCCTGGGAGGCAGGCAGGGTGGCCCCGAGGGGGCCATGTGTGAAGCCAAAGGTCCAGTGGAGACCCCAGAAGGTTAGAGAAGCCAGGAATGTGGATCATCCAAGGAAAGCTGCAAGGAGTGAGCAAAGCCAGCCCCAGAGAGAAACCATGGAAGCTACAACTATGGGAAGTCCCGTGGGGGCAGGCAAGCCCTTTGGAATTCACAACTTGTCACAGATTGCTGGGTCGCTGGAAGTGGAACTGCGGGATTTCATGTTTGCCCCACTGGATTTTGGACTTGATTTGCTTCCATTCCTTTCTACTCCCCGTTTGTACCTTTTGGAATGGGAATCCTTATTTTGTGCCATTATATGCTGGACGCGTTTAACTGTCTTTCCATGTGTACAGGGGCCTGCAGCTAGGAGTTTGCCTTCAATCTCAGAGGAGACTTGGGACTTGGACTTTTCAGCAGTGCTGAAACTCTCAGGACTTCGGCACCTCTTAGAGGTGGACTAAATGCCCTTTGCGTAAAGGGATGTGCAGTAGTCTTTGGGAGCCAAGGGCAGAATGTTATGGCTTGTGCTTAGCTGTCTCCCCAAAGCCTCGTGCAGCCATAGGTGGGGCTTTTTCCAGAGGTGGCTGGATCTAGAGTGTGTGACCCTGGAATTGATTCATGGTGCAGTGCTAGGCTCAAGGGCACTAGGATGAAGGGTGTGAGCGCTGCCCACCCTAAGTAGTCTTCGTAAGATAAAAGAGGCAGAAAGATGCTATTAAGGTCCCTCATTTGCTTGCTTTTGCTGTCTTCCACCTACAATGAACTGTTTCTCCTCTGAAATGCCCTCTGCTATGCCACCCTGCCTTGAAGCCAGCCAACGATGGACTGAAACCTGTGTGAACTGAGCCAAATAAACTTTTCCTCCTTTAACTCTGGGTGTCGGCTATATTGTCTCAGCAATGAGAAAAGTAACTAAGACAGATGTTAAAGTGAAATAAATAAAAATGGCTTTGGTACATGAAGACAGTGACCTGCAGTTGCAGCAAAGGCACAGCTATTCACTTGAGGTGGCAAGGAGACATTTCTTTTGGTGTTTGACTGACGGTTACCAAGTATAACGAAAGGAGTCATTCCGTGCCTCACGGTGGCACTTTGTTATGGAGGAGTACTTGGTCTGTGACATGATCTCCCTGCCCTTTGCTAGGGACACCTTACTATTTCTTTTTTTAATTGGAAAACAAGGCAGCTTGAAGGATCGTGCATCTGTTGTAAGTATGACATTGACTTCTGCAGTGTTTACGCTTTTTAGCTTTCTGTATTTTTTTCTTTACATTTAAAAATTCATCTGTATTCTGAGGCTTGACCTTTTTAAGAAAATGATATTATTTGTTTTAGGGCTCCATTTATTATAATCAAGAGGGCACTTCCTGGTACAAAGGTGACTGGGTCCACAACATCAGAAAGGGCTGGGGCACAAGGTGGTAAGTGGGACATGGCCTCGTGGGGGGTGGGCACACAGGTGTCTCTGGCCCCAAAGAGTTGCCACTTAGGCTAAAGGTATGGTGAGGAAACTGCAGAGAACACATTTTCTGTCTAGCCAGGGTCGGATGTGTAAGTTAATCCCAGTATAGTCTGTAGTGATGAAAATAGTCTACGGATGATTTAGAGAAACACTATTAAATATCATACCGTTTCACCTTGTAAGTTGAAACTGCCTTCCCTGTTCTCTGCCTTGATCACAGACCTCCATTTTTAGTTGTATGCTTTTTGAAGGATGGTGACACCTTTGCCTGATTTTAGATTGAGCTGATAATTTTAATCCTTAAAATATTTATAGCAAAATATTAAATAGTTACAATAGGGAATTGAGTCTAGCCAGGTATGCTGGCATATGCCTGTAATCCCACCACCCAGGGAGGCTGAGGCAGGAGGATTCCAAGTTTGAGGTCAGCCTGGGCAACTTAGCAATGTAGAGCAACCTTGTCTAATAAAAATTAAAATAAAAGGCTGAGGATATAGCTCAGTGTGAAGGCCCTGGGTACAATTCCCAGTACTGGAAAAAAATTATTTTTTGTACCAGGGATCGAACTCAGGACCTTGCATTTATGAGGCAGGTACGGTGCCACTGAGCTAAGTCCCCAGCCTGATAAAACAAATTCCTGAAAGATGTAAAACACTTGTTACCCACTTTGTTACCTTAATAAATAATCAGCAGGTTTAATAAAGTGATTTATTCTGCTCCCTAAGATGCTTGCTATTGCTCACCGCATGCCTACCCAGTGAGTTTCAGTATATAGGAGTGTCTGGACCCAGGACTGGATTTCTTCACAGGTATTCAGGGGAAATTTTAAGAATTGTGAATGTGTGAGTGTGTGTTGCTGGGGATGGAACCCAAGGCCCCATGCATGCCAGGCAAGTGGTCTATCACTGAGCTAAACCCTCACTTCAATTTTTTTGTTTTGAAACGGCCTAAGTTACCCACCTGACCTTGGACTGGTGATCCTCCTGAGTAGCTAGCTGGGACTATAGGAGAACACCACTACACCTAGCTAAGAATCTTTCTTTTTTTGAGACAGAGTCTTACTATGTAGTTCAGGCTGGCGTTGAACTCACTGCATAGCCCAGGCAGGTCTCCATAGTGATCCTCCTGCCTCAGCCTCCCCAGTGCTGGGATTACAGGTGTGTGCCACCACCCCTGGCCTAAAGATCTTAAAGACACACATTGTATATGAGGCAGCTGATCGTTCCTCTTTGGTTTCTTTTGTCCCAGTTACAAATCTGGAAACATATACGAAGGCCAGTGGGAAGACAACATGCGCCACGGCAAGGGCAAGATGAGGTGGCTGACGACCAAGGAGGAATACGACGGCCACTGGAACAGGGGCATCCAGGTGGGCACTGTGCGCTCCTGGGTCCCATGGCCACTCTGAGCCTGCGCTGCCCAGAATCGCACTGTGTGCTAATCCGGAATTCAAGCTTTGCTGAACTTAGAAACTCAAATTAGGGTTGAGGGGTCTCAGCTGCACTTTTGCATGGCTGTCCAGTCCTCTGAGACGTCCCCACGAGCAGGGCTCTGCCATCAAGAGTCGGGGAGCCCTGCGGCTCCTGCAAGGGCAGAGATGGCTGTTCACACTCAGAGCTGTGGATTGGCTGCGCAGAGCAGAAACACGTCAGCTGGCAAATTTAACATTGTTTATAAAGCCTGAGCTTTCTCTTTTCTTTTGTGGTACTGGGGTTTGAATCCAGGGAGCCCTGGGCTACCCCCCAGCCATTTTTATGTATTTCAAGATAAGGTCTTACTAAGTTGTCCAGGCTGGCGCAAATCTGCAGTCTCCCGAGTGGCTGGGATTACAGTGCTGGAATTTCTAATGTCTTTGTCTTTTGTTTGTTTGTTTGTTTGTTTGTTTGTTTTGCAGCACTGAGGATTGAGCTCAGGCTCTTCTCATCCAGCGTTTTTGTTTTTTAATTTTTTAATTTTGAGACAGGGTCTTGCTAAGTAGCTAAGTTACCAGGCCAGGGTCAAACTTTGTTTTTAATTTTGAAGACAGGGTCTTAAATTGCCTAAGCTGGCCTCAAATTTGCAATCCTCTTACCTCAGCCTCTCAGAGTGCTGAGATTATAGGTGTGCACCACTGATCCAAGTGCTAATGGCTTATATATAAATCTAGTAATTGGCAACCTAGTTCTTTTCCTGTTTTTTTGTTTTGTTTTGGTACCAGGGATTGAACTCGGGACCTTGCGCTTGCGAGGCAGGCGGCAGAACCACTGAGCTAAATCCCCAGCCCAACCTAGTTCTTTTTGTGTGTGTGTGTGGTATTGGGGATTGTACTTCTTTTCCTTCTTTTTTTCTTTTTTCTGACAAGGTCTCATCGTCATGTAGCCCAGGCTAGCCTCCAGCTCACGGTGGTTCTCCTGCCACAGCCTCCCGAGTGCCATGTGCCACCATGCCTGGCTCCATCTTAACTTTTTTTTCTATACCAGGAATTGAACTCAGGATCTTGTGCTTTCAAGGCAGGCACAGTGCCACTGAGCTACATCCCTGGCCCTGTTATCTTTTTTTTTTTTTTGGTACCGGGGATTGAACTCAGGACCTTGCACTTGCAAGGCAGGCGCCAGAACCACTGAGCTAAATTCCTGACCCCAAATCTTAACTGTTTTAACTGCATGATTCAGTGTCATTGAGCACATTCACACTGCTTTGCAACCATCACCACCAACCATCCACAGAACTTCTCATTTGACAAAAGTGAAACTTTATACCTATTAAACAGTAACTCCTCACTTCCTTCTACATTCTGCCCCTATGAGTTGGACCATTCCAGGTTCCCCATGTAGTGGAATCATAGAGTAAATATTCTCTTGTGACTGGCTTATTTCACTGAGCACAGTGTCCTCAAGGCTTATCCATGGTGTAGCATGTGGCAGAATTTCTTTTTAGGGCTGAATAATGTTCCATTGTACAGATCACATTTTGTTTATGCATTTATCTAGGGGACACTTGTGGTGTCCGCCTTCGGGCTATTGTAAATAGTGCTGCTGTGAACATGGGTGTACAAATGTCTATTTGAGTCCCTGTTTTCTATTCTTTGTGTATACAAGGTGTGATAAAAAAATATGGTGAATGTTCAAGTTTTATTACAATAAAGGAAACAGTGCCATGAATCCCCCTTGCCTCGAACATCTCTTGCCATTCTTGCCACTTTCTTTTTTTTTTTTTGGTACTGGGGATTGAACTTGGGTCCTTGCGCTTGTGCAGAAGGCGGCAAAACACTGAGCTAAACCCCTGGCCCTGTTCTTGCCACTTTCTGAGGTAGCTCTGGAAGTCCTCTTTTGTGAGTATCTTTATGAGCCGTGATAGAAAACCCAGTAAATGCCATTGCTACGTGCCATCCAGTGAGAAGCAGGCTCATAAAAACAGGACAGTGAATCCTCCTCCACCTTATTTACCGGATCTGGCAAAATACAATTTCTGGCTCATCCTCAAAGTGCCCATGAAAAGTAAACATTTTGAATCAGGTCAGGACATAAAGGCAGCCACAACAGCACAACTGAAGACACTTGTGCGAAACAGGATTTCCGGAAGTGCTTCAGAAAGTGTCAAGAACAATGGGATAGTGTGTTCGAGGCTAGGAGGAGTATTTTGAGGGGGACTCATGGCAATTCATGTTTTACTGTAAGGCTTTTTTAAACTTAAACACACACCATATTTTTTGATCAGCTCTTGTATGACCAGGAGTCACAAAATGCTTCACGGAGGATGTTGGTTTAGTATGTCTGACCACAGGTGAGTGGGGCCAGGCAGATGGACTCTCAGGGTGGTGAGGACTCTCAGCCCTGTGGACAGTGGGGTTGAGGAGTGGGTACTTTTATCAAAGTGTATGCTTTTAGAAATAAGGTAAAACAATGATTAAAATAATTATTTTGCATTGAGCCTGGAGTGTAAGGTATTTTTTTCTCACTTTGTAGCTGAAGAACCTAAAGGCTTCAATAATTTTCCTTAGGTCAAAATCTGGTTAGAAATCGCTTGAGCTGAGCTGGAACTCAAGTCTGTGTGATTCTTCTTCTTCACTCCTTCAAATTATATTGTATTTGTCTTAATTTTATTTTATTTATTTATTTTTTATACTGGGGCTCGGACTCAGGACCTTCTGCTTGCAAGGCGGGTGGTGGAACCACGGAGCTAAATCCCCGGCCTAATATTTGTCTTAATTTTAAATGGATTCAGGTAAAATAGTTTGAACATTCCTGATGGCTGCTTGGTTTCATTTATTTTATTTGGTTTTTGAGACGGTCTCACGGTGTAGTCCAGGCTGGCTTCAAATACATGGCCCTCTTTCCTAGGTGCTGGGGTTCAGGGGTGCGCGACCAGGCCTGGCTGGTTTGCTTTCTTTTCAGAATGGTTTTGGAACACACAAATGGTTTATAAAGAGAACCCCCAACTCCCAGTATCCTTTGAGGAATGAATACATAGGAGAGTTCGTGAACAGATGTCGCCACGGACACGGGAAGTTTTACTACGCCAGCGGAGCCACATATGAGGGTGAATGGGCCTGTAATAAGAAACACGGCATGGTGAGTGTGGACCTGTGAAGTTGCTTCCTAAAGATGAGCTAAAGCAATATAAGGCGGGTCATTCTGTAGTAAGCTGCATTATCTGTTTTACACAGATAGCTTACTCTTTGTGGAGATGATTACATGAATTCTTAAATATTTCCAACGTATTATCTAATTTCTGAATAGTATGAAGTTATTAGTTTGTGTTATGTGAGTGTCTGTGTGTTAGGGTGATTTTAGTTAAAAGTAACAATCCAGCTTAATCTGCTGTATATATAAAGAATAATGTAGGTTTCAGGGGACTCAGAAGTCAGGGTTTCTCTTCTCTCTACACACAGTATTTCCCACCATGTCAGCTTCATTCTTGTGTTGCTCCTGTCCCATGACTGCATGGTGGCTGCTGTGGTTCCAGGCTTCACATTCACATCTGCACTAAGTAGAAAAGAAACTTCTAGAAGCTTTCTACAAATGTCTTTAATTTCACAGAGCTGAGCTGGATCATCTTCCCACCTCTGAATCACTGACCACTGACCTGGGTTTGACAAATGTCAAGAGTCCCTGATGCGTGACAGGCACTGTGTGGGTCACTTGCCTCATTTCGTCAGATCCATTTTGTGAGCAGAGGCTCAAGGACGGGCAGAGGTTTGGGACAGATACAGAAAGAGGAGGGGAGAGGAAGGGAAAGGAGAAGTGGAAGGAGGAGAGGGGCTGACCCAGTGAGATGAGACCCTCGGAGGCTGACGGTGTGGACTGAGGGCGAAGCTTCAAAACAAAGGACCAAGCTGGGTATGGTGGTGCATGCCTCTCATTTCAACTCAGGAGGCTGAGGCAGGAGGATCATAATTTGAGCCCAGCCTGGGGAACTTAATGACTTGCTGAGACCCTGTCTCAAAATGAAAAATATAGCCTGTTTGTTTCCTTTTTTTTTTTTTTTTTTTTTTTTGGTACCGGGGATTGAACTCAGGTCCTTGTACTTGCAGGGCAGGCATCGGAACCACTGAGCTAAATTCCCACCCCTTTCCTACCTTTAATAAAGGTGAAACTTTGTCATCATTAAAAAAAAAAAAAATATATAAAACAGGCTGGGGATGTAGCTCAGTGTGAAGGTCCTGGGTTCAATCCCCAGTACCAAACAAACAAACAGCTCCCAAACCTTGAAGAGACTGCTATTACACTGCTATTATTTAGCAATGCTTTTACAAAAAAACTTTTTCTAAATGATAAGTAGTCATTTTCCTACCTGCAGGGCCGGTTAACTTTCAAGAACGGGCATGTGTATGAAGGGCTGTTCTCCAATGACCACATAGCTCAGTTTATGGACCCTGATGATGAAATCCAGAGTTACCTGGACCTGCATGCCAAAGGGGTCCGCACGAGCAAGCAGTGCCGATCTCCTGTCAGTGCTGGTAGGAGCCTTCGCCTGTCTGGTGTCCCTGGTATCCGTTAAAAAGTCCCCGATTCCTCAGGAAATAGGAGCCGCCTGTGAACAACTGGTCTTCCCTCTCTCTTCCCTTCCTCTTCCTTCCCTCCTTTTCTTTCTTCCTTTTCTTTCCTCCCTTCCACTTCCCTCCCTTTTCCTTTCTCCTCATTTCTCTTCTTTTTTGCAGTGGTGGGGATTGAACTCAGGGCCCCTACACTGAGCTACAGCTTCAAACTTTATTTTTTATTTTGAGACAGGATCTGGCTGAGTCACTAAGTTACCTGGACTTGAACTGGTCTGGACTTGAACTTGCCATCCTCCTGACTCAGCCTCCCAGAGTGCTGGGATCATAGGTGTGCACCAACACATCTGGCTTGCAACTGTTTTCTTAGTAGGTTTTCTGAATGCTCTTGAATCACCTTGTGGTAGGCAATCATTCTGACATAACACTGAAAAACTTTAACATTGCTTTTCACAGTTGTCTCCTGTTTTGTCTGTTTTCTAGAAAAGATCAAAGAGCTCAAGGGCACTGAGAGTCCCTCTGCCTTAGGCCTGAGCATGGAGCTGGACCTCAGCCTGGTGGTGAACATGTACCCTAAGAAAGAGCGAGCAGAAGAAAAGAAGCAGGTCAAACCCTTTGCACTGTTACAAATTTGTATTTTAGGCCTAACCATTAATAGTCTCCCTGGTCCTGGGAGTGACCATTGGTGGTCATTGTCACGTGTCACATGGTGGATGCTTCACACAGATCACCCCACTTAATTTCCAAGGCAACCCTGGCAGCCCAGGCAGAGAGTTTCCATGAGGTCCCCAGAGCCTCGGAGTCCCTAACAGTCACACTGCTCTCAGACTCTGAGTGGCTTGAAGACTGAGGCTGTTGCTGCCTCCTCAGTGAAACGACGATTCCTCTTGATTATGGTTTGCTAGGGTTCAGCAGAACTTAAAGCCCTTAGAAATCACTGAAAGTCTGGGTGCATTGGTACCCTCCTATAATCCCTACTACTCGGGAGGGTGAGGCAGGAGGATCGCCAACTTCAAGGCCAGCCTGGGTTCCATCCCCAGCACTGCGAAAACAAAATAACAACAACAAAACCCAAACAAGCAGAACAAGAAATGAATGGATACCTAAAACCCTTTAGAGACAGAAAATTATGTACGTGGACCTGATTTGAGTCATACCTGGCAAGTCATAGCAAAATGACATCACACTACCATGGCCCCTGCGTGGGCCGGGCATGGTGTGTTTGGCTGTCTCCATGCATCTTCCCCTTCTCCCCCAGCGCCTGGCCCTCGCTTCTTGGTGCCCCAGAAGGGAAGACTTTGCCCATCCACCCTCCGCCTCTTCTGGCTCCCAAGGCCAATGCTGTAATTCAGGTGCCCAGGATCACTTAGCTCTGCCCCAAGATTCTTGTTAAAAATAGTAGCCTTTACCACTTCCTCTAATTACGAAAGTAGAAAATGTAGAAAACACAGATAAGGAAAAAGTGAATTTCTAGCCAGACAAAATCTGTGGCTATCTTTCTAACTTTTAATACACATACAGACAGAACTGGGATCATTCTGTTCACAGAATCCCTGTTCTCATGTAGAACTTAATGACAGCTATTCAGTGCATTAGATATTCTCCTATAATGTAAGTTTTAGGTAAATACGCTAATATATATTGATTTACAAGAAAAGTGAGATTGCTTACATTACTCTCCTTCCCCCATCTTTCTGTATTTTACACATGCACACATACACATACACACACATTTACACACACTTCATTCTACAGTTTAGAGTTCTATGTCAAAGCATGTGAAGCAGGACACGGTGGCACACGCCTGTAATCCCAGCACTCAGGAGGCTGAGGCAGGAGGATCACCACAAATTTGAGGCCAGCCTAGGCTATAAAGTGAGTTCAAGGCCAGCCTGCTGTACAAAGTGAGATCCTGTCTCAAAAAACAAAAAGACAGAGAACAAAAAAAATCAAAGCATGTGAGTCTTTTAAAAATTGTGTATTTAACATATATTGTCTATACTGAGCGTTTTATAATCACAGAGGAAAACATGCTTTTACCAAAAAATTCAAACATTATAGAAATATATGAGACAGAAAGGGAAAGGACCCTTTAAGAATACCTTTGAACATTTTTTTTTTGGTACCAGGGATCGAACTCGGGACCTTGTGCTTGCGAGGCAGGTGGCAGAACCACTGAGCTGAATCCCCGGCCCCCCTTTGAACATCTGTAATAAGAATACTTCACAATGCAGACACACTACAATTTTATTAGCAAATTGTGTATGGCTTTTCTTTACATTTTATTTTGGATGATTTTACACTTGCAGAGAGTGGAATTACCGTAGTCTCCATCTGCCTTCCCCAGCTTCCCTCTCCTGGCATCTTCTGACGCCCCCGGCACATGGTGGGGCCCGGAGCCGCGCACTGCTGCAGCGCCGTTACCTAAACCAGACTTCTGCCTCGGAATTCACCTGGTTCACCCCAATGCCCTTCTGTCCAGGGCCCCACACCCCCTTAGCTTTTACTCCTCCGCTCTGTGGCAGCTCCTCTCTGTTGCTCCTGACCTTGAGACTTGAAGTGTACTGATCGGTTATTTCGTAGAATGTCCCTTAATTTGGGTCTATTTAAGTTTTGCTGTGATTACAGGTATTGTCTGTTATTGGTATTATTTTGGCATCTTAATCAAAATACGGGTGTCTTCTTTTTTAAGTACAGGTCCTGGAGCATTCCAGGTTCAGCTAGAACAAGCTAGGCAAGCTGTCCCATCCCACTCCAGTGGTGTCTTCCCCTCAACTTCATGGGATCCGACATCAACCCCTCTGCCCAGCCGGCCTCGGCCAGTTCCCTTCCTGACTGTGAACGCACACAGGGACAGTGCTGGTGCTTGCAGAGTGGTCCCTGGCCCTGGGTTCCAACCCCTTCAAGTCCCTGGATCCTCCCAACAGCCTCTGGGGCAGGTGTTTTTGCATAGCAGAGATGGGGCAGAGAGGGATGGCAGCCAAGCTCCACTGCTTCCCCAGGCCTGGCTGCCTGTGGGCACTCGGTGAACTTCATTCCTTTCTCTGAGCCCTGTAGGAAACTCCTTGCTTAGATCCACTGTCCTCTGCCTCCACTCTGCTCTCCCATCGACACCTCCTTTTTGTGTACAGTGCATGTCTTGGGTTCTTTTACTACATGAAGACAAGTTCTGTGTTGTGCTCTAGAATAATGCTTTAGGATAGAGCACAGATGTTCACTGAATTACTCTGAATCTTAAAAGGCAGGAGGTAATGCTGAGTGTAATGTGCCTGATGCCACCACACAGGGAGGCTCTTTGAGCTCCTTGGGACCCCATATGCTGTTCTTCACACTCTGGATACTGAAGAGTGTTGAGACACAGACACCTGGAGTAGAAGGGGACCCCACACAGGCTGTCAGGTGGCATGGATGGGAGTTTAGGGCAGTGTGAGGGCACGTGGGACCCAGGGCCAGACAGGTTAATAGCACAGTCAGTGTGAACATTGCTTACTTTACACCTCCAGCCTTAATATGCTGTTAGCTGTGTTTTTGTACAAGCCATTTATCAGGTTAAGGGTTCCTTTCTATTCCTAATTTGCTGGGGGTGCGTATCATAAATAGATGTTAACTTCTGTCAGATGCATCACTTGGTATGATCATGTGGTTTTTCTTTTTTAGTCTACCAATGTGGTGAATTACCTTGATTTTTCAAGTGGTGAAACCAGCCTTGTAATTGAATCCACTTGGTAGTATTTACTTATAATCCCAGCACTCTGGAAGGCTGAGGCAGGAGGATATACTTGGTCTTGATGTCCTGTTCTTTTTGTATATTGCTGCATTCAGTTTATTTTGTTGGGGACTTTTGCATCTATGGACTCACGAGGTACTGATCTGTAGGTAACAGAATTGTATTGCTGCCATTGAGACGGGATATGATCACATAGCAATATGACAGTAACTCAGTTTTCCAGAAAACAATATATTTTGTTACTATTAGTCAGAAATTGCATTTTATTGAGTGGAAGTGAGCAGGCAGGATGATACTCATGGAGAGGTAGAGGTACATAGCGCTGTTTACAGTGCCATCCTCATTTAGTCTAGAAAGCAGGCACTGTGTCTTTTATTATCACAAGGCAAGATAAGATGTGCATGGCTTCCTTCCCTTCAGGTAGAATATGCTCTCTTAAGAAGCATTACAGAACTAAGAAGAATTTATAGCTTCTACAGCAGCCTTGGATGTGACCACTCTCTGGACAATACCTTCCTTATGACAAAGCTTCAGTTCTGGAGATTTCTGAAAGACTGCAAATTTCATCACCACAATATAACTCTTGCTGATATGGACAGGATGTTAAGTGGTGAGTATTCCAGGTCTGTCACTTCTTTCGGACTAGAGGATCATTAGCATGCCATGATGTCCTAGGAATGAGTTAGGAGATATTGGGAGGGCTGGGTATGTGGCTCAGTGGCAGAGCGCTTGTCTAACATGAGGTTTGACTAGGGGTTTGACTCGCAGCACTGCAGAAAAAAAAGTCGGCCAAGTAAGGAATGCACAGGTCAGGAGAGGCATTCCAGAAGTTGATGTGTGGCCTTGGTTTCCATGCTTATACCATACTTGCAAAGGTGACCTTGTGCAATAATAGCCAACAGTACAAGCCATCAATAAAAGGGTCAGCAAAGTATGGCCTGTGGCCAGCCCCACCCGCCGGCTGTTCTCCTGACTAAGCCTCCCTGGAACACAGTGATCTCTATGTCCATCTTCTGCCTGGGGCTGCTTTTGTCCTACGCTACAGAGCTGAGTAGTCGTTGAGGTAGTCTGGACCATAAAGCCTCATTTATTTACTCTCAGGTTCCTTACAAAGACTTTTTTGTTTTTTTTCTTGGTACCAGGGGTTGAACTCGGGACCTTTTGCTTGCAAGGCAGGCGCCGGCACCACTGAGCTAAATCCCTGGCCCTCAGGTTCCTTACAGAAAAGTGTGCCTGACCCCTATCTATAGTGGAAAAGCATGAAACTGTCAGGTCAAGGAGGATGAGGGAGTGCTTGGAATAGTCTAGAAAAGGCTTTAAGTAGTGTAGTAGTCTTCCTGTTGCTGGACACAATACCTAACACCTACAACTTAAAGGAGGAGAGGTTTAATTTGGCTCATGATTCAGGCCAGTTAGTCCATGGTCAGCTAGCTCCAAGGCAGGAACATCATGGTGGAAGGGCAAGGTGTCCAGGAAGCAGAGAGAGAAGGGAGGAGAATATACCTTCCCAAAGCACACCCCCAGTGATACACCTCTCCTAACCACACATTTAGCAATGAACACATCCACTGATGAGTGTAGAGCCCCTATGATCCAGTCACTTTCCAAAATCCCCACTTCTGAATACATGAGCTTTCTAGGGGAGATTTTAGATCTCAACCATTACAGGCAGTCTTAAGATTTCAAGTCAGAAAGTCCATGAGATAAATCTAACAACCTTGAATTCATCCTTTCAGCTGAATTCTGAGAGGCAGGACTGAAAGCCTCAAATTATCTTCTCAAAAAATAAAACATTAATGTGCTCACTGTATGTATCTAAAATGTACCAATACAATTAATTTTTAAAAGATATTAGTAAAACATTTTTAACATGTTCATGACAGGGCCATAATTCATATGTCTACTGGGCAGCTCTGATTTAATTTAATACATTTGTTCATTACTGTAATTTTTAATTGGTATGAATACTGTTAATATTTGTATTTGGGCAGTAATTATTCAAATTTAGGCAACTTACCTAGATTTGGTCCATTTATAAACTTTTATTAATTTTATTAGTAAAAAGATCAATAAAAGTGATCAGATCCATTTGAACTACCAATGGTACGAGCCACCGGATGGCACAATCATGCATGTACCACCGTTGCTTTTTTTGTTTTGTTTTTTGTTTTTTTGGTACTGGGGATCGAACTTGGGTCCTTGCGATTGCGAGGCAGACGGCGGAACCACTGAGCTAAATCCCCAGCCCCATGGACCACCATAGTTTTAAGCCGAATGTGTTTTAAGGGAATGTGTTAAATCCATTTACAATTAGCAGCATTAAACTTTGGTTCAGATGACTTTGAAAGCCATTGGGACAAAGTAAATTATAAGTGTCTTATAAGGAGACCAGACAGAAGGCTTCCTGTGGTTCTTAATTTCGGGTTGGATGCTCTGAGCACTCTTGAGAGAGCGAGGACTCCATCGTAGTCAGTTCTTTGCGCTGTACACCAGGAGCAAATGCAGTAGGTGCTGCTGGAAATATAATGCATGCTCTCCAATTTTCTCATTTTAGCCAGTAATGACATACCAGTTGAAGAAATTCATTCTCCATTTAGAACAATTCTTCTGAGAACATTCCTGAGTTATCTCCTGCAGTTGGCTTACCACATTCATCATGAAGAATATCAGTAAGTGCCTGGTACCGAGGTCCCTGGGAGCACCTCACGGCCATTCATCCTCTTTTCTTCAGTGCTCGCTGTTGTCCCCATATGGCCTCGAAATCAAGTTCTAGAAGTAAAACTTCCCCCAAATTTTAGCCAAAAAGCCCTAAGATGTCTTTTTTGGTACTGGGGATCGAACTCTGGATCTTGCTTGATATTATAGTGCAACTCAACACCCTCCATGTCTGAGCCATTTTAATGTGGCGTAGAGATACTGGAAATTTAGTCAGAAGGAGGCACGGTCAACTCTTATTTCTTAGGTCAGAATTTCCTGCCTCAAAGCAAACATGATACCTTTTTTTGGTACTGGGGACCGAACTTGGGACTTTGCACTTGCAAGGCAGGTGCAGTGCCACTGGGCTAAATCCTCAGCCCATGATACCTTTTCTCCCCCACAAAATATTTTATTTTTTTAGGTTTACAGAGTTACTATCCAGAGTTCCTATATACCTTTCACCCAAATTCCCCTAATGTTTATGTCTTACACAACACAGTACACCCATCAAAAGCAAGAAATTAATGTTACTGTGATATTACTGTTACAGGCTTTTAAAAGATTTCTCCAGTTTCCCCACTGTCCCCTTTCTGTCCTAGGATCAAGTCTGGGATGCTACCTTACATTGAATAGTCATGCCCTCATAAGGCTCTTCTAATCTGTGATCATGTCTCAGGCTTTGTCTCCCGTGACCTTGACACTTAATCCTGGCGAGTTATTTTGTGAAACTTCCTGTATTTCAGTGTTGTGATGCTGTCTCATGACTCTACTGAGGTTGTGAGTTTGGGGGAAGACTACCATGCTGGTGGATGGGCCCCCATCACCCGGGCTGTACACAAGGTCGGATATTGTGTTAGGGCTTAGCCCTACTCAAAGATCAGAACGGGGCCAGGCAGGGTTTCTACTGGCAGCTCACGGTGTCTTCTTTCTCTACGCTGTCTGTTACAGTCTGGTTATTAAGTTCTAGTCCACACTCCAAAAGAGGGAACTTAAGTTCCAGCTCCCAGGAGGAATAACTGTGATGTCTTTTTTAACAGAAATCGAAGCCCATCACTCTTTCTGTGTTTTACAAAACTGATGACTGAAAACATTCGTCCAAACGCCTTCCAGGTAAAAGGTAAATACAAAAGTAATGGGGGTAATGTTCACTGTAATGTTTCAAAATTGAATTTTGTAATCAGTTTTGAATGTTGTATTTTCAGGCAATTTATTCAGTGACGGGGAGGAGACGCTCTATATGATGAATTATATTGATAAGTGCTGGGAGATTTACACAGCTTACTGCAGACCGAGCCCAGCTCCTCCTGGTGAGCTTACAATGAAGACGAGACACTTCCTGTGGATGCTGAAAGTAAGTTCAATGCCACTTGGGTTTGGTACTGGCTTTATATTTACAAGCATCTTTATATTAAAGAAAACCAAGATAATGGAACTATAATATGTAAATAGTGAGGTGAAGATCAAGGGTGAATCGGGGGGCCAGTTCTGGGATGGGACCCAGGACCCTGTGCCCGCTAGGCAGGTGCTGCACCCCTGAGCTACATCCCTAGATCCTTTTAAAAAGTTTGAAACAGTCTCCCACTAAGCTGCTCAGGCTGGCCTCAAACTTGCAATCCTCCTGCCTCAGCCTCCTGAGTAGCTAGGATTACATTCATGTGCCACCACGCCCAACCTGGGATGAATTTTCCTAATTGAATGTTTAATGGAGTTGCCTTTGGCAGAGAGTGATGCAAATGGTCTGTGATAACGGGAGGCACAGAAAGAGGGGCCGCCTGGCCAATGTGTCGGCAAATTGGGGGCTAGCGACAGCTTTACTCCAGTGTATGTTCTGCTGCAGACCTGGCCACTGAGAGGTAGAGGAGGGCATGAGTGCCTTTTTTTATTATTATTGGTTCTTCTGGCAGTGGGAACCTAGAGCCCCGAGGACGGGGCAAATGCTGTCCCACTGAGCTACATCTGCCCTGGAAAGCAGTGACATCTTGTTTATACAGCGTTCTCATACTATCAGTGGTCTGTGTTCCAGGATCCTTTTAATCTGTACTTGATGAAGCTGAAAGAGTCAAATACTAATGACAGAGTACTTTAAGACATTGAACAGTACTGCATGTATGTGAAAAGCAGACAGTAACCATGACTTTAGGAAAACAAACTTTTAAAAGTATATGGCTATGGGATGAGATGTTATACAGCTGTTTATCTGTTCACCTCAGCTCCCCTCTTGTTTTTGTAGTGCTGGGGATTGAACCTGGAGCCTTCGAGAAGAGCTACATCTCCAGCCCTTTGTAAAATTTTTAAATTTTGAGACAGGTCTCACTAAGTCACTAGGCTGCCCAGGCTGGGCTTGAACTTGGAATCCTCCTGCCTCAGCCTCCCAGGGTGCTGGGATGACAGGTGTGCGACACCACACTCGGGTTACCTTCCTCTTTTTTTCATGGTCATTTGTCCTTGCAGAATAGGTCAGGTATCTTGTTTTGACTACATCCTTTTCATGGTGTTTAACGTGTCCTTTCCTGCCACACTTCCATGCCAGTGGCAGTTAGAGGGTCCATGTGACTCGGGTGGTTCTGGGTCCTTCCTGTGACATCGCATCACACATGTTTGGGCTCCTGGGGTTTCAGTGGGCTCCTGGGGTGGTGGCAGGGCCCTTCTATTAGGTTTTCCACAAGCCTTCTTCTAGCAGCCCATGATGGCCATTGCTGACGTCCGTCCAGTATCTCGCCAGGCCAGTACCATGGTGATCTCCAAACTCTATTATTTCACTTATCCGCAGCCTTTATTGGCTGTGAACTTTATTTGAAAAAGAGCTTCACTTCATCAGTTGTTTGAATACTCTGAAATACAGGTCCATACAGGAAAAGGGAGATAAATGCTTGATTTTTTTCCCTTTATTAAATTTCAGGACAATGAGTTGATATCCTAGCAATTCAGAGGTTTTGTGTGCTGTTTGGTGAAGTACTAGGAATTGAACTCAGGGCCTCATGCAAAGGCAGGCACTGTGCCACTGAGCTACAATGCAGTCCTTTTTAAAATGTTGAGAGAGTCTCACACATAGTTAGTTGGCCAGGCTGCCTTGAGCTCATGATTCTCCTGCCTCAGCCTTCCAGAGTGCTGGGGTGACACGGTTGTGGCACTGTGCCCAGCCTGTTCTCTGCTTCTATGCTAAGCCTTTTGTGCGGCTGTGTGTGATGCCTGGATGTCACTATCGGTTGTGGCTACAAAGCTGATGCCAGCTCTGTGGGTGGCGGCACCTGGCAGGGGTGAGGCTTCAGTACAGCGTGTTGCCAGGTCGCTGCCCCACAGCGAGCTGTGAGCGTGCAGATCCTGTCTCTTGGATGAGGACTTCTGGCTGCTGCTGGGGATTTGGACCTGGGCGTCACAGGTCCTGGGACAGAGTGAAGGTGGGGTGCGGAGGGGTGATAGCAAGACCCATTTTCACCCAATCCAGCAAGCCTTTTCCAGCAGAGCAGTGCGACTTGAGGGGTGCTGAGCGTCTTCCCCACCAGACTCTTCCGGTTTGGGCTCGCGAGTGTGGACTTCCGTGTGGAAAGGGCCCCAGCCGGACTCGGGGTGGTCTTCCTGTGCACAGCCTCTCCTTCCACTCGCTGTGCACCTCCCTGAGCTCCTGTCTGTTCGCTGAGCCCAGCAGCCCAGCGCTTCCCAGCCTCTGGAACTGTGTCACCGTTTCATACCTGGATTGTTTACTCTGCCATTTTCTCTGACCTTTGTTTATGTTAAAAAAAAAAAAAAAAGGACAGGGATTTGAATATTATTATAGTTTTTCTCCTTGCATT